TATTACCTGATCTACCTTGGAAAGATCGCCCAAAAGATGAAGGTGACCAACGCAGCATTTCCAACAGCGATAGCAAGAAAACAATATTTGTTCATGGTGTTCCTGAGCTTCTGCATTCTTCTGAACACGATACGCAAACACATGACCGAGAGCAGTGGTGCTACATCCGCGAAGCACTCTCTGTTGACAATGTTATTGCCAAATCTTTGACAAGAGTTCCGTCATCACCTAACTACAAGGGTTGCGGTCCAAGACTAATGAATGTAATATTACACTCCGAGGGAATGACCCAATTTCCGTTGGATGACTGGTTAAAGTTTCAAGACAGGTTTGCAATAGAGATCCGGCTAAAGGTAGCAGGCGAACGGCCAAGTGTCGTAAGCAATTCGACGGAATTTGCAAACGCTGCAAATTATTTATCTGCACAGTTTTGCGGAGATACCGACACAACAGCACCCATGGCACACAACAGCACAGAGCACAGCACGAGTAAAACGTCTGTTCAGGAACGCTCAATAATGCCATGCAACTTGACTGAAATTCACAAACCAAAATACGACTAATGGCCGGCCATCTAGCGGCCGGCTTAACAACGAACACAAAGTTGACATCTATCAACGCACTCCTAACAACAAAACCTATATCTTGTATGTACACAAACGCGCAAGGTCTCCTAAGTGATTTCGCCGAACTTAGAGAACTCCATGCCTCAAAACGCGGGACCTCGTCATGAAAACAGAGACCTGGTGAAACCATGAGATGACCGATTCTGAGATCAATTTACCCGGTACGTCGCTACTTCGAAACGACAGAACCGGAAGGGGTGGCGGTGTGATTCTTTACTATGATGCAAATCTCCGATGTAAAGTTACCGATCACCCGGAAATCCGAGCTCCTGATTCGTTTTGGTGTCGCCTATGGTTGCGAAACAAGGACACATGTCTACTAGCCGTGATTTACCTCCCACCAAACTCAACGTCGGAAATGGAATCCAAACTGAACCACGTCTTTCAGGTTGCTTTGAACAAGTCCTACACCCATTTATATCTCCGGAGACTTTACCGTGCACGACATAGGAACGCCAGCAACCGACGGTACGCAGTTTAATGCCTGCTTGCAAGAGCTAATTGTTAGTCACCCTCTGTACAACCACGTAACCACTCTCACCATTGATACTGTATTTTGTGCTCACTAACGAAGAACTCATGGTTGACGGGATAGTTACAAGCACACCACTGGGTCGTAGTGATCATGTTACTCTACTCTTTGACTATATATGCCATGCGGAGTATCCTGAAAAGGAGGTTGATAAAGTGCATACTGCCACGCTCTATAATGTGTTATCTACGTTTATTAAGGATACATCTTGGACTTTCTAAACCGAATGCCCCCCAGATGTTGCATGGGAAACATTTACAAGGACTTTTAGCATACTGGTAGCGCAAGCATCGGAACAGAAGTCCTTCCAAACCAAAAACAAGCATAAGTCATTTCTGAGGAGCAGAACACGTAAATGTATGTCCCGGAGGGATCTGGCATGGCGCGATCATCAGGACTGCCCGAATGCCAAAACCTGGACTGCATACGTGCCACATCGTAACTTCTATGTGAAACTGATCCGCGAAGACAAGGTCACGCATCAGCAGGAGTTAATGAAGCGATTCTGCACGAACCGTAAACTTCTGTACAGGCGCGTTAACGGCCTTCGAAAGGTGAAGCGGGGGGTTCCAGCACTAGTCACGGCTGATGGATGCATGCGATAAGCAATGGAAGCAGCTGATCTCCTACGGCTTCATTACTCCCAAACTTTCCAGCAGCTAACGAGCCCAAACGTTCTCCTCATTCCCATTACTCCACTTTCGGGTTTAGACAACATCACTTTCACTACGAAAGTTGTGTTGAAGAAGTTGTTATCCTTGCATATCCACAGTTCTCCTGGAGTTGACAACATCCGACCAAAGGCTCTGCAGGCGATAGCTGGTGATCTAGCAGAACCACTGGCTGTTTTCTATCAGCGATGGCTAGAAGATAACCATTTTTCACCAGTATTGAAGTGAGGGGTCATCACTCCTATCCATAAAGGAGGTTGTCACACTGACCCTACCAACTACTGTCCAATAACACTACTACTTGTACTATCCAAATTGATGGAATTAATCATCGCAGGTGCGCTTATGCAGTATCTGGAAAGCCACAACTTACTATCCCCAGAGCAACATGGCTTTCGTCAAAAGCGTACATATAATACTAACCTATTAATTGCAGGTAATAGCTGGAGTGAAGCTGTTGATGATGGATCCGGAGTCGATGTCATCTACCTAGACATTTCAAAAGCGTTTGATCGCTTATACCCTCGAATTCTCCTTCAGATGCTTCAGAACTACGGCATTGGCGACCCAATCCAGAGTTGGACTAACGATTTTCTACACGAATGATGGCTACATGTGAGAGTCCGGGAATCATTGTCTGATGCAAACGATGTGGCGTGTGGAGTACCACAAGGCTCGGTTCTTGGACCTCGTCTATTTTTGGTGTTCACTAACGGTTTGGCGAGAACAGTTGTTGCTGAGTTCCTATTTTTCGCGGATGTTATCAAGATATGGCGAAGGATCAGAGGACCGGACAACCACGAACGGCTCCAGTGCGATGTTAACACAGTGTCGAACTGGTCAGTTCAAAACGCCCTACCATACAACGTAGAGAGCTGTCGCGTTGTGCAATTACGCCATAGACCTAACTACACCAATTTGCTTGTTACAAACAGATTACAGACCAGCTCGCAGTAATTTGGCCCTGGTGTGCTCGTACAGAGCGACCCAACTGTCCGAAACAGGCTGAGGTAGCTGCGAAAAGAGGCAACCAGCACGTCGGCATCTTCAATGGTCATTCGGAAGATTTGACCCATCAATCTTCCCAATGATGCACCATTCCTACGTGCGCCTGCATGTTGAATACACTATACAAGCTTGTCAACCTTGACTGAAGGGCGACCTAGAAGCGATAGACGCACCTTATACATATATATATATATATCCGCCTAAACATAAATAGCCCGCGAAATGAGATGTCAAGTCATCGCCATGTAAATACCATACCCCGTGCTTCTAATGCTCTAGACAGAATTGTCTGAAACAGAACGTTGTGCAATTTCTTACACGACTTGGCTTGATCAGTCCCTCGCAATTTGATCGTCTCTTTCAAGAGGCTCCTGTGTTATTTGGTAGCTACAGTTTTTCAGCCAAATTAGGATTCTGATGGACAGAGAAATGACAACCATCATAATTCCCTTGGATGTGCAAAAGTCGTTTGACCGTGTGCCACATAAGCCACTGTTATCCGTGCCAATAATAGGACATTGGGTGACCTCTGCTAAGCTGGCTCGACTCACACCTAAACGATCGAACCCAAAGAGTTAGGCTGGGCTTGCAATATTCCACACCAAAACGAGTAACTACCGGTGTCTTCAAGGGAAGTGTGCTGGGACCACTGCTTTTCCTAATCTACATAAACAACATACGGGAGCCGGTCAAAAACGGACATTCATTACTGTTCGCAGATGACGTCAAACTAGTCTATTCATTTCAATCAGAACAACTACCAATGTGCCTGGAAAGCCTACGAGATTTGTCCGCACCGAACGTCTGTTAATGAAATTCTCCGCAATAAAATCTCAGCTACCTATACTGCATCCCGGAAGACTCTAACACATTTACTGGCAACGTGAACTCAACACCAGCTTCAGTTCAGTACTTTGGAATTAGGTATTTTATACATCTTTAAATTTCCCTGATCATGTATTATGCCAAGCCGCAAAAGCCAGATAACTACCCAGCCACATTTCCAGAACTTTCGCCCTACCTGAAACACGACTAGTTATTTCAGATAGTTATTATATGACCTACTCTGGAGTGTTGTGTTGTCACTCACAGCCAATTAAGAGAGGCAGAACAAACAATATATCCAACGATCGTTTGCAGGCTGGTCATTGGGTGTTGCTCAACCCTGAGTCAATCTGTTCGTTGTCAATACCTCCGAATTGATCCCCTTTGAACAACAATCTTAGTGTTCAACATGGTAACGTAAATCGGGTTTTCACAGACGGTACTACCTTTAAACTGCGGAAAACTGCCACCCACTAGTAAGAACAGTTATTTGCTGCTCGCACAGCTTCCCGAGAATAAAATTCGATCGACCTTCTTTTTAGTGCTATATGCTTATCTGTGGACTGACTACAAGAATGCACAATTGCTGACCAAGCCACATTTCGAAATTCTCTAGAGAGTTACCTGACCATACCGATTATGCCAAAGATACTTGGCTCACAACAATCTCAATAAACATTGACGGAAGCGAGTCTAAACGAAATATGAATAGCTAGAAGTCTACGGTCAGCTAGACTTCTCTTTCTCATTACCCATGAAATTAAACTTGTTCCTGCGTAATCTATTCTTTCTTCTTTTCTGTTGACTGGGAGCGATTTTCGTTACGTAGAAACTTTGAAAACTGGCACGGATGTTTGTATCTTTTTGCATTTTGAATGATCAGATCGAGAATCCGATGGAATATTCATGACGCCACTACTGTGTACAAACGATCGCTCCCACCAGCTTATTAATTAGCTTATTTTATTTAAGATGGCTGTCTCGGTCTTTAGGATTATAACTGAAGTACTGATATGTGAATAATGCTACACTTTTTATTACTTTTGCACTGAAAAGTGTCTAGTGAAGCACATATCACTTATACACATCGTGTGTGTGTGTGTGTGTGTGTGTGTGTGTGTAACCGTAGATTGAAACTGCCGGAACGCTTAAACTATAGGAGGAAAAGCTGCTCATTTTGGAAATTCACCTACTTTGGCCGCAAGCTGTCCTTGGAAGTGAGGATGTTACCCAAGTAGTCGGATGTTCTTGAAATGTAATTACTAACTTGATTTACTTTTAAAAAAAAGTGAGGTTTGAAACAAATGGACAAATAGACATAATCAATGATTAGATTACCGTGTTCTGCCAGTAGGATTCTTGGGCTATTGGTCTCACTGAAAAGTCCACCAAGGAGGAGGTTTTGCTCAGAATGAGATAGTATCGGCGGATCCGACCGAGAATTTCACTGACTCGAAACACGCGCACTACCACTTGGCCTGTTCGGGGTTTCGTCGCAACTGGTATCGGGACCGGAACATGAGAAGGGGCTGAGGAAAAAAGATGAATGGTTTGACGGAGCGTTTATAGTACAAAGCACAGCCAAGGCCTCTTCATTGCCTAAGTTTATCGAGTATGTTCTAGCACTTTCTACGGTTTCGTTGAATTTACCTTGAGATCTGGGAGTATTAATACTAATCACGACACCTTCACCCCCCCCCCCGCAATGTAATCAGCTCCCGTGGAGAGAAGTGTGCTGTAGCATGTGTGTTATTCCCAGGTCATGGGGCGCGAATTCGCTCCTCTAGCTTAGTTTTTGTGGTGGCATTCGGGTGATTCATCAATGGCATAATGTGTGTGGAACCCCGCGCTGGCGCGGTGGCGGCAGCGGCTGCAGCAATAGCATTCATGCTGATTCACATGTTACCCTCAGTGTCCACATGGCGTCCACTGATGATGCGTTTGTCGATTACGCTTCGCATCTGTGAGCGCAAACACGGCAGCTAGACAGCGGGACATACGGAGGAGTGGGAACATCCAGGAGACCAAAGTACTGCGTCTGATTCAACAAATGCACCTGTTGTGTGCCCATAGATCTCTCTACACATTTGTTACCCCCTCCCACCCCAGTACCACAGAAATAATTAAGCTTCACCGGATGAGTCATTGAGAATCATGAATCTGCAGAATTTGAACTCGGTGGTTGTTAACTTGTGAATCATGAAAAATATAATTGAGAAAACAGGGATTTTTCCACTCGAGTGCGGACGCAGAGGTGTATGAAAACAGGTGCGCTGATTTGAATAACGACTGTACATTGCAGTTTTGATTTACAACTTCGGCCACAGCTCTACTGCTGATTACATATTACCCTAAGCAAGCTGATCCGCTGATCAATCTATGTCAAGAGAACTGGTTAGAAAAGATTTATTTGCTTGTCGCTGTACGTACACAAACAAGTTTATGAATTCACAACTCCTTGGGCCGTGCTTTCGACTGCTGTTCGCCTGCTCCTCGAACTGGTCACAGTGCGCTACCTTTTGCTTATTGTGACTCGAATCTCGTCTATTTTCACATCGGTTTTTAACTTGATTTTTATCGAAACGGAGAAGGCTAGTTGATTCATGTGTTGCCAGCATGCACCCACGTCATTTTACGATCATTGACAGTGTTGAGAAAGCTGCTACCTTTGCTCATCCTTGTTTCGCCCGGAGTTCACAACATTCACTCGAAAGCACTGCAGGTGGTAGGTGCTAGGATAATCCAGCTGTTAACCCGGTTTTGTCAAAGATGTTTGAATGAACAGCATCATTTAGTGCGTAGAAGCAGGGCATCATTGCCCCGGCTTTTAAGCAAGTTAGGTATTCGGAATGTAAGTACCCCACAGTGATTCACTCTCCAGTACCCTTAAAGGTGATGAAGTCGATATTTTCTGGAGAAGTGATAGTTGCAAAGATTTAGTATCAGCTTCGGCACAACACGGTTTATGTCAACGTCGATCAACTAGTACCAACCTACTGATTGCGCTTGGAACTTGAACTGGAACAGCGGATATTGGGAATGAAACCAATGTCATCTACCTAGACTTTTCTAAAGCTTTCCACCACTTCGATAACTGAATCCATCTCCCAAAGCTGGAAATTTACGGTATTATAAACCCTGTCCTTGAACAGATCAGAAATTTCCTTCTTTAGAGGCGGATGCAAGTGAGGGTTCGTGGCTCATTGTGTAGTCCTACTGCAGTATTCCACATCAATCGGTGTTTCGGCCCCGCTTATTCTTCATCTTTGTTAATGATCTGGTGTGTATCATCGAGCCAAACTTCATGACCTTTGCGATGATCTAAAAATATGGATGATAACTGCAATCAGCTAGTTCACAATCCTGTAACGAGATATAGACTGTGCATTTGAGTGGTTAAAGACGAATTCATGTTTGTTCGACGCGGACAAGTGTAAAGTAGTGTATACATTACAAGCCTAATAACACATAAGCTAGGGAACCACATCTCTAAAACCGACTCACAGGTGCGCGAACTTGGGGTGACAATGCAAGACAACTTCGGTAGTTCGAAGCAGTTCTTGAATATGTCCGAAACCGCGATCCAGCGTTCGGGCAGTGCGACCTTCCCATCTTCCCCCAAATGTTCAACGCGTTTGAACAAAGGCGTAACAAGGGGGCGGACGGGAGGAGGTCCACCCCCTTGCGGCATTTTTAGTACGGTTAGTTATAGTTGTCAAATCTAATGGGCAAAATTTCCGGATAAGCTGTGGGTTGAATATTTCAATGATACTTTGTGTAATCAACAACACCTTTGCGCCATTTGTCTCGCCTGTGAAAATGTTCTTCCCAGCCACCCCCTTACTTTCCCGTTTCTGGTCACTTGCACCTGATTAACCTGTCCCAAATGATTATTCAATTCATCGAAGACCTAAGTGCACTTTACCCTGACACGATCGTGGATCCTTCAGGCGGTTATGCAACCTTTAGTCATGGCATGTGCCAACATGCAGCTGGCGCTGAAATTGTTATTGTGCCAATTTCACGGTAGCTCCAGTGTAATTTGATCCGTCATCTGCGCATTATTATAATTCCAGTAGCATCAAGCGTGACCTCGTCTGTTCCAACGTTCTATCCGACAATCCTCTTTGGACAGTGGTGTGATTACAGCTCACGTTTGTTACATTGGCACCGCCGACTGTCTCGATGACCTCGCAGTTTTGGAACACCATAGTGCGAACGCGGATTGTGCGAGCAACACATCCGCACGTGGCAGAACTTGTGGCCGTTTCCATTTGCTTGATATGTCTTAGAAAACGTCACGAGTAGATGCGATGTTAGTGTGTCCACCTGCCGTTTGAAGCCATATTGGTTGGCTCTTTGAAAAAACTTGATCGCTGTTGACGTGGAGTTGTGTGCAAACGCAAATCCTTCAGATTTGCAGATTTTGTCTTGATAATATTATTCAATTGCGCTTCTGTTGATTTACTATTACAATGTGTTTGATTATTTATCAGTGAGCAGTCTATGGCTTCCATATTGTGCAGTTTTTCAGAATTTGGGTGAACTTTCAGTAAAGATCCATTAATGAAGAGAGTAAAGGAAAGCGGTACGGCATTTCGTAAGCAGAAGAGGGCCAGGGAAGAGCAGACAAAGAAGAATGAAGGCGGGTTGTTCAAATTCATCGGAAGTACCCCATCAAAGAATAAAACACACACGAAAGGACTTAATTATGCTGAGGCGGAAGATGCAGTTGCTACCACAAAACTTGATACCTGGTCAACAGAAAGCTACATTGACATCACTGATGCAGTGGGAAATGTCTGCAATGACGATTCAGATGTACGCACATTTGAACAATTGAAAAGCCAACTACTACCTGGCACGGAAACAAGCACATCAACTGATTTTACGGATGTTGGTCTGTGTCCTGATAAGATTGATCATGAAATATGCACTATGTTTTTTTCGGTTGGGATATACTGCAGTGCAACATCTCGACCATGAATTTAAAGAGGTTATTCGGCCTGGAATAAATACGAAAGGCGAAGCTAGGAGGCTTACAAAGAACAGGTTTTTTCGGGAATTGCGAATACGAATGGGGTATTCTCCGTCTAATGAGTCCCTGTTTTGCTTCTGCCGCAGACTGTTTCGACGAGACCGTTTAGTTTTTCGACTGACGAGGGTTACAAGAATTGGTGGAAATTAAATCCGAAATTGTAGATTGTTTGTAGATTCTCTATCTAGTAAAGTACATGCTCAGGCGTTCCTCAAATGGAAGGAACTTAAGATCCGGCTGATTAAAGGCAAACCAATTGAGAAAATGAAGCAAGCACTAGTAGTAAAGGAAACACAGAGGTAGCGTAAAATTCTAACTAGATTACTGGATATCATCTGGTTTCTCGACAAACAAAACATGGCATTCCGTGGTCACCGAGAATACATCCAGGATGAAAAGGGAGGGCTGGAAGATGAGGAAAAGTTTTAGAATCGATAAATCTTTTGGCCAGATATAACCCTGTCCTTCGTGAACATTTGGTGACATTTCAGCTGAGAGCAAAAATCTGCACTTCATTTTTATCGCCGGAAGTTCAAACTATATTTGTGAGTATCCTGGGAAAGCAGGTAATAAAGAAAATCATAGATCAGGTCAAGGAAAGCAAGTATTTTCGCTTAATTTTTGATAGCACTCCGAATGTTTCCCACAAAAATCAGATGTGCGAGGTGTTGCGTTACGTGAAGATGGATGAAAATGTAGTGATAGTTGAGGAGTCGTTTCTCTGCGTCCTTGAGTCCAACAGCAAAAGTGCAAAAGCCATTTCTGGGCTGATTCTTAAAGAATTGGCAAGAGATGGAATCCAGATTGATGACTGCCGTGGGCAGGCATTTGACACTGCTGCTGTTATGCCGGGCTACCGATCGGGTATCCAGAGACGCATCCGTTAAATAAAGCCGAAAGCTACTTTTGTGCCATACACAAACCATTCTCTTACTCTGGCATGTGTACATACAGTTTCTGCGACTGTTCAATCGGTTACAATTTTTGTACAATCGACCGGCTATTTTCGTTCCATTCTGCATTTACATATCGCTGGAACGTCTCGATTCAAGTGACCGGTCTAATTATCAAGCGGTCTGTAGAAAGCAGATGGAGTATTCGAGCAGACGCCGTAAACGTTATGTTGAAGAAGTACCCAGAAATCGTCAATGCTGGGGAACAGCTGAGCGAGGAAAGAAAAAATTTAGCTACAAGATCAGATACCTTTTTAATTCTGTTGTGTCCCCAGGGGTTCGACTTAGCAGCTTCTTAGATTGCGCCACGCGAGTCAAAAGACAACGCACCGGACGAGAAGTATATTTGCGAAACACTGTACAGGCCGACGTGGGTATGAAAACACTCTGATTACAATTCATATCACGGCTGAGTGCTAATTTGAATTTATCGATCTCAAGGAATCATGGGACGTGTGAGTTGTAGAAACAGGCGGTAGTAACAAGTGTTCTGCAACACAGAAAACTGCAGTCTCCTTGTAACTGAGACTGTTCTGATACAAGGCACACGGTTATTTGGGGAAATTGCGCACTTACCTTCCGAACAAGTCAATTTGTTTCGTTTCCGTGCGCATTTGACTTTGGTCTGACCTAACAACTTCTCACGGTGTAATGGTTTCCGTTTTCTTCGTTTCTGAACCTTTGGAATTCTGTTCTTCCGGAAAGCAATGATGCACAACAGTATCTTCAAACAAAAAAGCTTGATCTGGAGCAAACTTCTGTTAAACTCATGGCGTTAAGAGATTGCCTTCTTCAGACCAGAGAGACGATGACGCACAATACAATGAATACATCTAAAACACTGTGTTCTTAATTGAGGATAAGCATAGAGCGTCGAATTCGTAAGAAAAAGCGAATGGATGGAGAAGAATCGTTTGACTCCTCGGTGGTATTTATGTAGAATTGAGACAGGAACTGCTATCTTTCTTTGGCTTAGGAAATATGTCGCATCTTTCAGCAAGCGTATGAACTTGCTAACAAATATGCTTGCTTGACACCGTCGAATCTGCCTGACGAGAACTATTGCTGTTCACTTAACGAAGATGACGTGATATAGAAAAAGAGGAATTCCATGCCGAACGTAGAAGATTGCAGTATTTCTTGAAAGTTTCAGGAAACGACAGCATCAACGGACCGTTTGAACTTTGAGCCGCATACATAAATATCACCATGGGCAAATGCACGGAATATAATGATCATACTGCGCATCTTGTTTGCCGGTGCTATTAACATTACCAGATGAAAACCTACTTTTTCTAAACTCAAGCTTATAAAAAAATATCTTCAATCAGCAATGAGTGACACAAGGCTGACGGATTTGGCAGTTCTCTTCATAGAGAGGGAACTGGCTGGTAGACTGAATTTGGATACTGTTATCGCCAGTTTTGCTGAATGTAAAGCACGAAAAGCGTATTTGTGAAGTTCTTATCTGCACCATAAATTAGTTCCTTGGTTGTCGTTCTCTGACACGAAATATCGAAGGGATGTTCACAATTTTGTGGGTTTACAGATTTACAACCGTCAGGGAGCAGCGAAAATTTCACCAAATATTGTGATTTTGTAACGCATATGTCTCACTCGGGCTGTCATCATTACCATTTGTGAGCGTTTATTCTTCAAGCTCAAGTTTATAAGGAACTATCTTCGACCACCTACGCGCCAGGCAAGACTCACCAACTTGGCTATTCTCTCTATAGAACGGGAGCTGGCCGATGGACTGAACTTTGATACTGTTCTTGATATTTTTGCTGCGAGTAATGCACGAAAAGTACATTTGTGAATTACGTATATGGTATATGTAGAAATTCGTCCCATCTAGACTCATTCAGACAGTCGTCACAGACCCGGAAAAGCACTGTACGCGCGTTTCATTCTTTCGGGAATCGTCAGCAGTGCGCATTCCATCGGACCCTAGTAGGGCTCGAACCCGCAACTCGACTTTTGCCAGTCCGTGGTTGAGACTACTGAGCTATGGCGGACGGCAACGACGATTGAATGCTGCATTTGCAGAAGAAGTGCTGCTTCTCAAATGACTTTCGTAAAAATGGAGTAGGCAAAATGCTTGTAGCTATAATTAGTAGCACTGACTCAAATGGCGACTTTGTTATTGCCTTAAGTTTGGGAAGACAACGTTTTGTTGCTTTTAGCTGCATCAGTTTGGGACGAATATAGTTGGTTAGTTGAAGTGATCCACTGTGAGTTTATCTACGCCCGACCTGTTAACCGGATGCAATTTTTTGACGGTGAAGTCACTAAGTGACCAATGCTAGTGTGTAGAAAAATCCTTTCAAATCTTCAACAGTGGGGAAATTCGATTACACACTTTTCTGCTTGTAATTTAATGACAAATGTCTACCTAATTTCCATGCTGGGGGATATCGTTAGATAACTCACGTAACATCATTGTCTGACAGCTTGTTCTGGCAACCGGTGCCGATTGATCCACGTTATGCGGCAACATCGAAGTCTGATACATGGATCGAATTTGCACATCGTACACCGTATTTGCAGTCAGCTCATCGATTACCAAAGAGTACAGGGAATTGCTGCTTTCCAGAATTGGAGTCAGACGCGTAGAAGAGTAAAGGACATCGGTCGGATTGGATATATCCAACATTGCCAAAGAGACGTCCAATGTGCGTGGCTCGAATGCGAAGCGACGCGGTTGAGCGTCTTCGTCTATGTAAGAACGAGTTCCCAACAGCTGAATCTAAAAACAGACGGGAAACAAGCGTAAATGTTATCTGGTGAAAATGAAAAGGGAATTATGGTGTTTCGGCCCGATTAGTCATGGAAGATACTAAATGCAGCTATTCGGTATAGGCAGGTTATGTATATGTATATGTATAAATCAATCTGCAAACAGCGATATATGCCGTTAGAACCAAAGTGGTGATCAAATAACATTTTGTACAACAAAGGAACCTGTATCTCGTATGGAATCGATTCTTTTTGACATTTCACACCCATCGCTCTTGGCTTTTGTTTTTGATCAGATATAAAAGTATGAGCAGAGCTGCACTGGCACCACTGAGCCATAACACCCGAGTGTTTAAACAATGGGGATCCACTTTCCGTGTTCCCCATCATCAACACGGAGAGATCCAGTTGACACTACATATGAGACAATGAGCTTTATGTCCCTTGTCCATATTCTTGGTTGTCCTCGCAGCTACGTTTTCTATAATTAAAATTATAATAATAGTAATAATAATAATAATAGGTATATTTCTCATCGCGTGAGAAATTGTAGCCATATATGGCGCAGATCATATTTTACAGAATACTTTATGCTCATGCGTGAATGGTAAACATTTATGTAATTTTCATAGCTTTTGTTGTTTCAACGGTTTATATTAGCACACAGGTGTGTTTCAAAGCAACTTGCACTAGTTGGAATAGTGAATCTTAACTGCACTACGGGTGTGTCACACAATATGAAATGTTGTTTGTTGTTTCACTCAATAGATGGTATCTGGCTCTTCTTGGTACAAATCCTCAAGTGATCTCTCCTAAGAGAACGAAGTCATAATTGTGTGTAAATCTAAATACTTGGTGAGCTTAGCGCGAAAGGCCATTGTGCTCTCACACGATCTGATTGTGACTGGAAGCTTATTCCACAAGACTGCATATCTGATAAGGAAAAAGTTACACCGCAAATTTATTCTGCACCTGGCTACAGTCAGGGTAAACCCCTTCTTGTGTTGCTCCCTTGCCGAACTATGTTGTAGTTCTAGGGAGGGCAAATAGTAGTAGGTGTTTTGATGAATCATGTAGTACAGAAACTGATTTCATTGATGTAGATCAAGAACAGTACACACTCTTGAATAAAACCACTAGTAATTGGAGGTGGTGAAGTGTGGTGGTCGGCTATGGTGACTATCTGAGAACGGTCGCTAAGGTATGAAAATAGGCAGTATAGGAGTGGGTCCTGAATTCCAAATGAGGTAATCTTTTACAGCAACCGTTTGCGGGGCACTCAAACGAATGCATTTTCCATGTCCAGGAACAGAAGTATGATTGTGTATGCTGAGCTACTAGAATCAGAAACATGGCTTAGCTAACGTGACAGCTCCTTAACACCACTCCGTCCGGCCCTATTGGTGGAGACCTGAATAGGTAAGTCACTCGACCTTAACTACCTTTGTTTCCCTAGAATTCACGTTGGACTATAGCATGTATCATTTATCTTACTGTTTACAAGACAAATGAGTGCCATTAACAATCGTGCAAGGAGGAAAAAGAGTGCTGAAAACCGGCTAACCACGGTAAGCAATACCGTTGCGGTCACAAGGAGTGCTGACGAACCTGTGCCCTGCTGTACACATTCCGTGCCGTCTGGGATACTAGGGCAGGTAAATGAGTTAAAAAGACCAATGACTGAGAGTTCAGTTTGTGTTGTTGACCTTATATCTCCACTGTCAGCCAAAATAAAGGTGGGGAAACAGTTGACGGAATAAAACGAGAAAGTAAAGTTGATTGACTCATTTGGGGATATCTTTATATCAGTTTCATACATAATTCAGGCTCCGGCTAATCCAGAGCCGAAGCATAATATTAGAGCGTTTAACTTTCTAAATGCAGTCCCCCTTGAGATTACCCAAAGATGCAGAAGAGGAAATAGCGCCATCGCTCTCAATATAGCTGACAGTATCTCGATTGATATTAGGCTTACTGTTTCGAGGGCGTGTAACATTTCTGAGACTGATATTAGTAGCAGAAGCTTGGGGAGAACATATTTATGTTTTCCTTGTCTTACTCTGTTCAGCTTTCTTATCGAAAGTCTCGCAAGTACGTTTATCAAAAGCCAAAATACTTTAAGCTCTGTTCCCTTACAACCTGAACTTCAACGCATGAGTGCAACTAATGTCTCGGTTGAGCTAAAGCAGATTCATCCCCTTGCTCGCCCGCTGGAGTGCCAAGTAGGAGATCATTCGACAGCGCTTGGTTCTCCCCTTTAAACGCGCAGATAATGTTTACAAGACCACTCTCTACAAAAGCGATGCTGACGTTGGCGACAGCGTAGCGTAAATTGAGATGCTCACTCCTCCACACGACATCTGTTTTGTGGACATAGTGTAATGGCGCGGAAGGCAGAGATCACGCAGGAGACTGAAAAGTCACTAGAACGAGGGAGGACCGAAACGGGCGCAGACATCATGGACAAGATCGGATAGCGCAATCACAGCCCAAACATACGAGAAGAGAGCAGAACGCGAGCACCGAACGAGTACGCGCCTGATCCAAAGGGTACTGAAAAGGGATGTGTCCGTACGCCAGTAAATCAGACAGAAATACCTTTGTCGGTGCACCCTAGAGTAAACGCCGGCCGAATAACGCAACTGAGATCAAGTAAACCAAGAGCTTTAGAACAACTCCAGGCTAGTCAAAATGCGAGCAACGGAAGCAAACGTACGGTGTCAGACAGGCAGCCAGGACCATGAAATATTCCGGCTGACGAGGCACGAACGTGATGTGTTGTGATTCCCCATGTATATTGTGTTGTGGGACGGAAACATGGTCGATAAAGACACGCGAGCGTGTGTGAAAACCGTGGTCGCTTGCAATAAAGATTTTGCTTTCTTGCCACTTTTTTCTAGACTGCATTATTGAGAAAAAGGAGACGACAAAACTGACCTTCCCCTCCCACATCGTCATACCTGAAGACGAGTGCATTGATTCCCCAATTGCTATGGCAGAAGCCTTTAGCTCATATTTTGTTGACTCCTTTAATTGTGAAAAAGAAACACTGGAATTTTCAATCTCAATTAACTTCTCTGAACAAGTCTCAGCCATTGACCTTAGTGTCGCTATGAGAAAAGGTATGGTAGCCTATCTACGGCCACCCTACAGAACCAGCCCGATGGGATCTCTTCTGCTTTAGTCAAACATGGTGGAGATGATCTTACTCTTATATTATTGAATGTCTTCTCTTTGCGTCTGCAACCTGGTCAATATCCCGAATGTTGGAAATCGTCTACGGTCATACCGATACATAAGTCCAGATCGAAAACTTACATTCGGAACTACGGCCCCATTAGCCACGCTGCCATTCTCTCACGCATGCTAGCTAGAATTGTTAGCGAACATTTGGTTTCGTTCTTATTATCGCACCAAATTCTCTCACCTTCACAGCATGGCTTTCTGAAGTCCCGCTGATCTGTTACCTGATAGGTTGACTTCCTTAACCATCTAATTGAAGCAATTGACCCAGGTATTCAGTGCATTGTCATCTTGCTTGACATAGAAAAAGCGTCTGACAGAATCCCACATAAGAGGATGCTATATAAATTAACTAAGTAAGGTGGGACAAATCCGCTTCACACTGGGCTCCAATCGTACCTAGTAGGACGGTCGCAATTTGTGGATATCAATGGTTGCATCTCTTCACCTCGTCTGGTCACCAGTGGAGTGGTACAGGGCAGTGTCTTAGGTCCGTTACTTTTCCTACTGTATATAAATGACCTTGTTTCTGTTATGCAATTTTTCAAGCCTTATTTGTTTGCTGATGATCTTAAGGTTGTTTACACTTTCTCAAGTTCTCATCATATCACGACTTGAAAGCCATTGAGAGATGGACTGATATGTGGCAGAAGACCTTTATAATATCGAAGTGTAGTATTCTGGCGTATGGATGCCAGATAGCAGCAGAATTGTTCAGGTTTCATGACGAAGTCATTCCCAGCAGACAATCTGTTCGTGACTTAGGTTTGAGATACTCTAGTTCATTAAACTTTTTCGAAGATACAAATCATATCGTGAAAAAGGCTAAGCAGTTGAAAGGGCTCATATGCCACCTGCTAACGTTGAAAGAAATCAGACTAACTGCTTTCAAAATCAGTATCAGGCCTTTGCTTGAACATTGCTGTGTTACTTTCAGTAACCTGGGAAAGTGTGATTTAAGAGCTATTGAAAACGTTCAACACACCTTCAAGAAGCGTATATCTAGTTATTCAACCGCTCTTTCATATGGAGATACGTGCGAGGAGCTGAATCTTGGAGCTCTATGGTTACGCAGAATGAAAGTAAACCTGTGCTTCCTTCACAACCTCGCGGGGCGGAAAGCATATGTTGGAACCTATCAATTGCACTTTCGGGAAGATACTTGAACCATTTCCTTTTCTTTTCTAGTTAACGGTCCAGAAACATATACCGGATTTCAGTGATAGCAATAACCGATTCCCTATTTAAATTTTGCTTACGGGCAACTCGTGCAGTTATCTGTCTTCGGCTGTCACGCTGCAAAATTTGATCGTATGATCGGCTCGATCCATTTCCACGCTGATGTAAAACATACCTGCTTATTTTGCTATTAACGATATTATATCTCTTTCGCTCAAAGTTGCTTATTTTACTTTCTTCCAAGACTGGACTGATCTGCTGAGGTGACGGATTATAGCTTCCAGATTATAAAAGACTATACCCTTGCAAGGCACATTGACACCAACTGACTGGCGCATAAAAAGTGTCATAATTGAATGATCCATATAACGGACCGGGCTGAGGCTTCATCCCGCATAATACATGCATAAAAGCAGCCCTAAAAAGAACACAACATATGTAAACAGGTGGTGGTTTATTTGCCACTTTGTCACACCGGCACGCGGCAAGGTATTGCATGGAAGTGCGGACGAAACCTTTCGAGGGAATACCTTGCATGCAAGCAGGTCCCCTGGGGACGGTTCCACGGTTGGCCTTATTACTTTGCCTAACCATTTGTTTAAATCTGTAGTTGTTATTGTTCCCAGCTTTTCAATCTCTTTAATACCTTAAACCTACCAATTACTTCAACCTCCGTTTTGGATCCATTGTATAAAGCGTGAACGATTGATTATTTTGTGCGATCCTGCTCTACACATTGATCAGACCACATAGTTGGAGTGTGTTTCGCATCGCCGAAGAATATATCACTTATTTATTTATTTATTTATTTAGTTGGCAGGTTATGCATGATCGTTTGTCCAGGAAACCATGCTGTGACTTGCCTGTTAGCTCCAGCGAATTGATGAATTTTATCACAGCATTTCAAATGTTTCTCTAATATTCGGTCTACTACAGGTGTGTGATGGATTGGCCGGTACTTATTAATTTCTTGTTTGGAGCCATTCTTGTGACTGCTCTGGAAAGGGGCTTGATTCCAACGAAAGGGTAAACGTGTTCAGCAATAATAACGGCATGTCAGGTCCACCCAGTTTTATGACAGCAGGTGGGATACCATCGGAATCCAGATGGGAAGATGGTTTAGTAGAATTCATTACATGCTGGATAGCAATGATAGAAAATTCAATGATACACAGGGTGTTGGTTGTTTGCATTCCAATCCATGCATTTAACGGGGTAGTCTCCAGGCTCATGGAGGGGGCAAAAGATGAGCCAAACGGTTCTCAGATGTCGGTTGGATCATGAAGTGACTGTCCGTTTGCATTAACCAGTCCATCGATCGAGGAGGAGTGGTGCTTAGTTCTGCTACGCAGTATTTTATCGTTTTTTCCTTTTACCAGTTGTTCGTAGACCTATTTGTTTTTCCTCTATCCTCATGGTCAACTGTATGTGCTTGACCCTGCCAAGGATGTCGTGCAACTGTAAAAGCAAGGGAAATTTCTCCTCTTTCTGTATCCAGCAATTAGTCTTCTGTGTTTCCGGATGACTGAACGCACGATTGCGTCTTTTTGGACATGTGTTATCTCCTTGTCTTGGGGAGTAACGACAGCAATGGCCTGATGGATCTGATGGTAGAAATAGTCCACGGCATTGCACACATTGTTAGAGAGAAAGAATGCGTCCCAAGCGGATGATAGGATAAATTGTTGGAATTGCTTCCAGGTTATAATATAGGTTACATATTGTAGAATAAAGGCCTGATTGGTGGCCAATTTAACGCTGAAAGTGAATCGCACCATGTTTTGATCACTACTAGAGTTTGTCTAATACCGTTTGTGCATTTGTGACCCACAAAGTGAATATCAGGTCGAGTATACTGGTCACTCTTGTTGGCTCAGTAACCCACTATCCACTATCCACCCACCAATTCTGAGAGAGGAAAGAAAAGCCGTATGCGTAGACGTGGATGGTTGTGAGGACTAGTTAGTATTTGGTAGGTCAAAATAACCAGCAATTATCTGCTGCCTGTTTGGCATCTTAGCAGCAAACTGGAAAGCTGAAGTCATGATGGTAACACTCGCGGTTGACGCAATTGGCGGGTTGTAGACACATCCGAGTAGAATGTAAAAACAGATTACTGAGACGGAAAACCAAAGAGATTCGGGAACATTTGTCAGCTGTGGATGATCAAGAAGTTCTGCTACAAATGTACAGTGTAGGGATATCATGCATCCACCTCATTTGCCTGTGCCGCGATCTTTTCGGAAGAGCTGTTAATTAGAAATCATTAAGGTAGTATCTAATGTATCGGGGAAGCACAAGGTTTCAGTAACGATGATTGATTTTGGGTCAATGATATGCGCAAGCATGTCTAGGAAGTACAATATGTTTTAAATATGTCTGGCATTAAGTAGAAGTAGATACAACGGACTATTATGTGTGAGGTCATCGTGTTGCGGTTCTTTGTTGTACGTGTTGTTGTAGTCAGGTATTATGGACGCAGGAGATATGAGTGGGAGTACTGGGGTCCGGTCTACTTTTAACAGGCGTGGTGATATGGGTACTATGTTATTTGTGATTGCCTATACTGCTGTGGACATTGAGCTGCTTGAGGGAGCAAGTCTAATTTGCGGTTGGCTAGCCGAGTCATCTGCAAAAATTCACATCAACAACGTGTAAATAATGCGCGACAATGAAGGCGATGGACTGGTATGCGTAGTATGTTGGCCAACCGACGCAAAAGGTGTTGGAGATTAATCTCCTAGAGACGAGGACTATCCCGTCCTAGTCCTCGGCTTTTAGTTTCCATACTGTGCTTACATGGTGATAGCATCACATGAGCAATCGTTCCCAAGCCACGGTTATTGAAATCCGACAGTTTTCTGATATCATTTTTCGTGAACCGACCAGGTCTCACAGCTGTACAGTAGGACGACACGGACGATGACATTGTACAAAGCGCTCTTGAAGTTGAGACAGGCATTCAGACCACGTCACAAGTGTTTAGATTCAATGAGGGTCAAGTGAAATCTGGACATTTATGGCAAAATTTCATCTCAAACACTATACAGACGTCTAGAAAATTAGAGCTGCTAACCTCCTCCAGGCTGTGAGTAGTGAACGTAGGTGCAGACGAAGGTGAAGTTTTACAATCGGCCGGGGTAACTTACGGAAAATATTTAGATGGCTGTATCGATAAGCAGTTCGTGATTTGACCAGCTAGGGAATATCCAATAGCTAAACGATCTCATGATATATTTGCCCGTGAGCATCTGCATGGTGCAGTTCTAGGCTCTTTCCAATGCTCGGTGGAGAACCGCTAAGATGGCAAATTGGAACGAGAATTGCAAGAAAAGCAAACATGGTTTTATCGACTAGTCGGTCGTGGATTTTGTGCAAAGCATCTAACCCCCGAGTCATTTCAGAAGTTTAAACCGGAAGTGATTTATGTCGCTATTTAAAAATGCTACGTCAACAATTTGTAGACCGAGACCAACGATATTCACCCCACAACATGTACAGCAATTCTGTGCAACTGCCCGTCAAGCAGGGCCAAACCTAGAAACCAGTTTACTGACGCACAACTAGTCACAGTCAACCAAGAGAGTTGCAATGAGGTGCGATTTAATGCAAAGCGATCGATTGTCCAGTCAATCAGTCTGAAACTTACGGGTTTATGTTAAAGAGGCAAATCACTGCGCGGAAACACAATAAGTTACGAGTGATTATCAACTTTCTTGTTCATTCCGTGCGAACGTCGCGATGCATGACATTTAACATATATTGAAAGTAACAAATAAGGCTAGATGGAAAAGGGGTTTGTATTCATGTGGTTTAGTTGCTTCGACTGTAACTTTTGGTCACGCACTCAAAAGAAAGTAGCAAATGGAACAGCATTACGCTTGAGCAGGCAATACATTCGTAATATTTAGATTACTCCAATGGTAACAGCAAACGAGGGAGAAAGTCCGTCCTAAGCCCCGACTTTGCTCAACCTCTGCATCTACATTTCTTGTAGCGCTACTACCAATTTCTCTCCAGGTCAGAAACTTAGCAGGAGTTCCAATGAGGTCTACTTCTTGGCTACTTCCTTTCTACGAGACCCTGTTGACGTTGCTTGCTTTAGAATCACAGTTGCAGCTGTTGTTCGCACATTATTGTGCATAAGCCATTCCTAAGATATTGTCTCTCTATCGAATTTAAGGACAATACAATAACAGCTCTCCTGCGAGTGACTGGTGCATGGAGAAATGTAAATCTGGTATCAAATTCTTGAAAGATACTTGGAACCGATCGAGTAGTCATGAGTTCAGAGAGGTTTGGAAACAATCGGTTGGTATAGTATTTTTGGTAACCTTTCGCCAATAAAATAAAGGCTTCGTCAGACCAGGTGAATCAGTGTGCAATTGGTGTGGGATTTTATAGCGAACAGGGCCGATAACCGCGGTACCCGAGTCTTGAGCCATGAGTCATTACACAGTTAGTAAATATCATTAAGTTTCAGCAACCGGGTGAGCCAAATCTTCCGCAGACTGAACGTATCGCATTAAATTCCTTGAAGGAAGATCGCAGCATTGTACTTACAAAGGCTGACAAGGGAAAAACACTGGTTGTAATGAATAAGTCAGAATACTTGGAAAAAATGGGACAACACTTGGAGACGGGTCCATATAGAGTAGTTGTTGATAAGACAGTGGCGTCGGTAATGAACAAGAGTAAAACGGAGGTTGGTAACTATTTAAGAACCCTGAAGGACGATTTGGGGGCAGGCAAGTGGTACAGTCTCTATCCAAAATCGACTTTACCTCCGAGGGTTTATGGCTTGCCAAAAGTTCACAAACCCGAAATCCCCGTACGGCCCATAGTCGACGGTATTGGCTCCCCGACCCATGAACTTGCTAGATACTTTGCAAGACTATTGCAGCCTCTAACAGGGCGAACGAGTGCATTCGTGAAAAACTCTTATGACTTCGCTCAAAAGATAGCAAGTCTAAAAATTGAGTCAGATGATTTGATGGTCAGCTTCGATGTCACATCACTTTTCACAAATGTACCCAAAGAAGAGGCGCTAGGAATAGCAAGACGTTGTCTAAATGAAGACGTCACTCTGAATGATCGGACGAAACTAACAGTTAACCAGATAATCGTGGGAATGACTGTGTGTCTTAACATGTCTTACTTCGTTTTTCAGTCGAAGCTTTACAGTCAGGAACAAGGTCTCGCAATGGGATCGCCAATATCCCCTGTACTGGCGAACCTGTATATGGAAGACTTCGAGAACCGGGCGTTAACAAGCACCATTAACTCACCAAAAGTTTGGTGGCGTTATGTAGATGACACCTTTGTACTTTTTAAAAAGGATAAGAAGGACGAATTGCTTGATCACTTAAACTCCATTGATGAGAGAATACAATTTACTATTGAGTTGGAATCTTGTAGCGGTACAATACCATTTCTTGACTGCCTAGTTCACAGGAATGGGGGAAATTTAAAGACGACACTATATCGCAAGCCAACGGATACTGACGGCGTACTCCACTACACATCGGGTCATCCGAAACAGGTTTACGCTGGGATAGCCTCAACGCTGTTCTACAGGGCACAAACCTTGTGCACGATGGAGGAGGACAAAAAGGCTGCGCGGAAAGTGGCAATGAGCAAACTATTAGAAAGCGGTTACCCACGGCGACTAGTTAAACGTCAATTGCATAAGGTGCTACACCGGCAGTCAAGACCCACAGCCGAGTGGATAGGGACGGTCGGAATTCCGTACAAGGAAGGCACTTCCGAGGCAATTCGGAGGGTACTAAACAAGGAAAATATAAGGGTGATCTTTCACCGAGGTCGAACGTTACGTTCGGCGCTGGTACACCTGAAGGACCCCTTTCCAAGGATAGGACGACTAACTGTGTTTATAAAATTAAATGTAAAGACTGTGCACATGTGTATATAGGCCAAACAGCGAGAGAATTACGCACACGAATTTCGGAGCATAGGAGGCGCATTGCAAGACTACCAAGAAACGAGTTCGAATACCAGGCGATAGTAAGAGTCTCGGCCGTAGCTGTGCATGCATTAGATACGGGTCACCAGATAGACCTCGAAAACGTAGAGGTCATTAGGAGGGGCATACGATCAACATCCCAGCGGCTGATTGCTGAGGCGGTGGAAATTGCCAAATCTGCTGACTGCGTGAATAGAATTGAGGGGGTAGAATTCCCTAATGCATGGCGGGCGGTTTTAGGCCGGCCAGCTTGACGAGCATCGATGCGTGAATCAGATTGAAAAGTGCAAACCGACTCCCATTGTCAACACTATGGGCCTATCCGTCAATGTCATGACGCACAAAGGAACACCTGGACTACTCCCACTGTGTTTAAACCACCTGAGGTGACATCCCGAACTGTTCCTGTAATGACTCATGGCTCAAGACTCGGGTACCGCGGTTATCGGCCCTGTTCGCTATAAAATCCCACACCAATTGCACACTGATTCACCTGGTCTGACGAAGCCTTTATTTTATTGGCGAAACGTTACCAAAAATACTATACCAACCGATTGTTTCCAAACCTCTCTGAACTCATAAATTTGGTAGTATTTTAAGTTGACTAAGTACTCAAATGTCGTGGAGGATCCGAATGTTCTCTTACTATTTCTGTCATTAAACAATGTGTGCAAAGATGGATATGATTATGAGTTGGAAGCGGTGCTATACGAGGGGAGCTAGTACTCATGAAACATTGATGAACCAGGGAACTTATCCACTGTAACGAGGTCCTACTCTGAGATGAAATGATTGTGTTCGCTTCCCGGAACAACATACGTCAGTCGTCATTGAAACGGAGTAACCGATTGAGCATACCTATGTCACTGTGGCTGTCAAGCCATTTTGAAGTCGTGTCCTTCTCATTTGTTCACACTGACACTTTCCACGGTCGCTAAAGCTCTAGCGATTTCTCATTGTCGGTCAGTTGAGTGGAATTTGCATAAATCTGCTCATCCGGCAAGTTCAGTAATGTCCAGATGTACGGGATCTGTTCTGCTTTCCTCTCGCTAACTGTTAGCAGTTTCCAACATACACTTGAAAAAAGTTCTGTTTTCCACTGGCATATGGCAGCGCCAAAGAAATCTCTTTGTTCACTTACTCTGTACATTATATCATGAACAGCATGTCGGTTTAGAAAGCAATTTCGACCTCGATGGTCTATTTTCATGTCCTCAAGACACCCACCAGAGGATTTTCTCATCATTTCGCATACTGCTGCTAGAAAAGTTTCAGATGAGACGTAACCCTAACTTTTCGGGTGCTGTAGTTAGATAAACTGTTAAAGCCTGGAAACGGTGCACGCATTTAGGTGATTTAAAAGGCGCCCTTAAAGTATCCCAGAACTTCGACGAAGTGCTTCCAAGCATAGTGTTTTTAGAAAAAGTATCAACTTTTAAATCGGAGTAGAAACATTCGCACATGCTTAACCACCCTTGACCTGAAGCCAAAATGCCTAGCTCCTAGCAGTGAACAGATGGTGTAGGCTAGACAAGTGCTACATCCCTTGTGGGTGGTTACCTATGCATTGGAGCAATAGTAAGGGGCGAAGGCCTGACAATCCCATTAGAAGAGTTAAGATAAATATTGCAAGTGGAAAACACGGTGTGGATATAAGAACGCATAAGTACCGTGAATCAACAAGATGTTTGTGATAATTTGGATGAGTATATTCCTGTCTGGAGTTTAAGGGATGATTGCGACAATCCCCTGTTTGCTATGCACTAATGCGATCACTCTATAGGCTCAGGCTATACCCTGAAAAGAAAATGAGCCAGTGTGTCATCCATTCGCCTTTTCAATATCTTTAAGGTGAGGGAATTTATCATTTGCGCCGCAAGAGATGTTCCGAGCTGTTGCACTCAAGAGAGAAAATTTTCCTTTACTGCCCACTCGGCTGTTTTGTGACAAACTTAAGCTGATGGTCCCTCAGCGATATGCCTGGATGAGTTTCAGAAAATGATTGCGAGTGGGGTTTTGGTCCTTCAGTTTCACTGCGTAAATGCAGAAAACGTCCGATGTACAATCTTAGAGGTTTCAGACTAAGACTGCGGGGGAAGTAGGACAATCCTTTAAACTAATTACCTCACTGCACTGTGTAGTCTCTAGCGCGGTGAGGTAGTGTTTCTTCCAGGGCTACCATAGGTGGGTATCGAATTCCACGTGCTACCTCATGTAAGCCCCGAACATTCACTGGAAGATTGATGCGCCCAATTATCCGAACATCCTACCCAGAATATCGAAGTGTCGATTTACTTTCTTGACAATCTTTCGGCTCACCTCATACAGCCAACTCTCTCTTGCATGAATCCAACGAGATCACTGTCATGCGAAGCGCGTCCAAGAATTTGTGACCCTAGTCGGTAGTCGTGAGCGCTTTTATGATGTATATTCTGAACTTTGCGCCGCGTGAAACTGGAGCATGTTCTGGATCAGGGATGTTCAAAGTCCGGTCTGTGGGCCAAATGCGTTACTACTTCAACTGCTCCGCGGCCTATTCATGATATAATCAATTCAGGCTTGGACGTTTTTCGTACAAGTGCAATTCTTTATTATCTTAATGTCAGATTGGAGATGGCCTAATATATTTTTACCTCAAAATTTGGTTGTCCTTGCAAAAGTTCTGGACACCCCTGTTCCAGGTGGACCAT